TTTTTTTTTTTTTATAAAATGGAACTTTTTCAGTGTATATTGTAATTAAAAAATTTTATATGTTCCACTTTTCTTCTAATAAGACTGCCTGTTTTTATTTTGTCTTTTTATGTCATATTGTAATTTACGTAATATTCTTAATTATGAATAATGTTTCTTGTGTATAATATATAGTATACGTTTTTTAATTAAATTACGACTGAATTAATGTAGATAAAAGAAAGTGTTATTTTTGATGATATTAAAAAATAAAACAGTATGTTATGTCCCTTTTTGTGATTCAGTTTTTGTTCTGTTTTAAAACCACCACGAAATATAAAAATATATGTACATATATAAGAATTAGAAAATACATTTTCTGTGAAAATTCTGTGTTGCCAAAATGAACGCTACTAAGAGAAGCTTTGTAAGTTATTTCCTTCTAGGACACTCAAGTACACCTATGTTTTTCATTGTATACATAATACTATCAGTAAGATATATAATAAAAATTTTCTTAAACTAAATTACGACTCCATTTTACGTTTATTTATAGCACATTATTTATTTGTTTCAGACAACTCTTGTATTGTCAAGCATAAATTGTGCTAATCTCATTTCGAATTTGTCTTTTTCACCTTTACATAGAATATATCGCTTTTTCCGATTACACCAATTTCACAATTGCAACCAATACATGAGTATTATTCAAGGAATTTAGCACAGTTGAGTAAATGTAATAATGTAGGAACAGATAGAAATAATTCAAAAAAGAATTCTCAAAAGGCAGCACAAGTATCAGCTACGAATGACTCCGATAAAATTCATAAATATAAAATATCTCCAGATAAGGAAATTGCTAAATCTAAAAAGCTTAAGGAACTTATTAAAGAATGTGAAAAAACGGATAGTAGTAGTAGTACAAAAGAAGAATCTTGTGACAGTAGTTATATATGTGATGCACGCAATGTCATTTATGGAAATAAAAAGCAATTATCAGAAACAGAAATAGAAAAAATGATAAATGCTTTAGAAATATATCCACATAAGGATCATGTGCGCAAGATATGGCTGCAAGTGTGTAAAACAGAAGAAGATAAATTTTATAATATTGCAAATTATTTTTTTACTTTATACATTGAAATAAAACATAAATATAAAGTAAGAAAAGAAAACTTTAGAAAAAATGTATGGAAAAATTTTCATGATATTGTTAAAATAAAACTTTCAAGGAAAAGAAAAGCCTTTGACAAACGTCTTAATGGTTTTATGAAGGATGAATCCTTTTTAAGAGCTGAATTTATAGAATTTACGGAAGATTATAAAAATATGTGTACTAAGTTAAGAGAAGAACTCTTTAGCATGTGCCAGGTTGAAATAGCTCAAGTTATGCTACAATTACCATGGTGGAAAGGTTTTAGGTCATAGCAACTTGGTGTAACTGTTAAGCATATGCTATTCTAAAATAAGAAAAGGAAAATATTTATACAATCCAACAAAATAGTGTTCTTTATTGTAATATCCTGAACATAAATTATATTTGATTTAATTTTTTTTCTTTTAGTTGATTCTTTTTATTTTATTTTAATTTATTTTATTTTTTTTTTGTTAGCGTTAATTACACGATTAGTGCATATACCATATTAGCAAAATAATAAGTACAATATTTTCCATTTTGATATTATTACCAATTATTTAAAATTAAATGATTTGTTAATTAATTTTTCAATTTAAAAAATGAATTCGTACTTTAATTTTGAATTTTTTTTTTTTTTTGTTTTTTTCATTCTCTAATATAATATTTGCCATAGTAAATATATAGATTTATGGCTAAAAGACCTAACTACAGAGTGTAAAATGAAAGAAAAGTTTTTGATTAAATTTATAATGGATTTGTTATAAATTAAATAAATCAATAACTAGCAAACACTGATTTATATTTCCAGGAAGCCTCCCAAAGAAATAATTTGAAGCCAATTCTTCCTTTTTTCTATACTGAAATAAGTTATATGTGTAACAACTCAAATATTGTGCTCTTTTACATTTTATAAGAATTTTAGTAAGCCCCCTACAACATGAAAGCGTTGAATGCAAACAATACATAGTGTCATTCATATATGTGTCCAAAATTTTTTTTCTAAAATGCTTTAATTATTTTAGGGCATCCATTTAAGAAAATGTAACAAGCGTTAAAGTAAAACGATTACGTACATTTCCTATATTGATATATTTATAGACACATTCTTACTAGTATATCTTCACACCTATATTTTTTAATAATAATATTATTAAGTTCCAAATGTGTTAAAAGGATCTAACATGAATGTTATCTAATTTTGACGTCTAGATCAAATAATGTAATTTTGATATGACATTATTTACTATATTTTCACGAATGAATGTATTCACAAAATAAATTTGCAATGGATTGGATGTATTTAAACATCTTGGAAAAGAAGGAAAAAACTTGGGATGCCATTTTATATTTTAAATATGAAAGAACATACATAAAATTGTTAATGCGGAAAAATCATCATATTTCTTTAATTAATCTTGAAAATGAAAAAAAGTAAAAATTATCATTCTTGCAATGCAGAAATTGAAAAATCATAAGTGGGGGGATACATATGAAGTTACTTTTCTAATATGAAAATTAAATAGAAAAATTTTCTCTGTAACAAACAGAATACAGGATTAATCATTGAAATATTAAAAAGATATTCGTTAAGCAGTCTAGTTATGAAATTATGTCATAAAAAGCGTTATAATTTTTCTATTAATTATTAAAATTAATAGAAGAATTAATATTTGAAAAAATTAGAAAATAATAACATTATGTTTTATAATAAATTCTTGAATAAACTAAATTATATGAAACCATAATATATACGGTAGATATATTATTAGATTACTCTATCTAAAAAATCTAATGGCCTTAAGTTTTATCACCATTAGAAGACAAAAATGAAATGAATAATCCAACCTTCCACTTTTTATTGTTCCTCCAAAAATTTATATAACACAAAAATATTTTCAACTTCTTTAATGTTAATGTTAAATATGTCCTTTAAAATTAATTATATATATAAAATTACAGGATTAATAATATCACAAATATACCCCTCCAAGTGTTGCAACAAAATAATGAAGAGTCCCTTAAACCTTTTATATGATTATTATTTTTAAGGTTAAAGGGAAACAGACATGCCAAAAATGTATAACAGAAAAAAGACAGATACAGACAACACCCAAAAGTGTTACAAACTGTAAAGCAAATTTATAATAATATGAAAATATGAGGTAGTAGTATAAAAAAAACATCCACTAAGATCCATAATATGTTTTAAAATAATGAAGTAATGAGTATTCAAAAATATGTGAAAAAGTAAAAACCAGCTAAAATACATTGTAATATAAAAAAAAACTAATTACTAATTTGACATATGAATTAACTAGCTATGCCGAAATAATATGAGGAAGTCAAAATAATTAATTAATTTTCAAGCTAAAGGGGAAACATTAAATAAGGGTCCAAATTAATTAAATGGCACATTATCCAATCATATAAATACGTTAACATTATTAAGATTAATCATTTTTTATTTTAGACACAGAATTATAACAAAATAAAGTCCTAGATAAGGTTTACTTGCTATATTTCACATAATATGAGTTATTGTAGAAGGGTTAAATTTCAAAAAAAATTCTTATTTAACGAGGGATAATATTAAAAATCCAATTTAAGTATAACTGAAAATTATGATAATTTCTAGCGTTATAATTTTTTCGATAAAAATAGAAGCAGTTTAAAAGTTGTTAAAAAATATAATGCGAATATAGAGTAATGTAAAAGTATAGTTTTTTATAAATCCATTAAAAAAATGGGTAGCAACATAATTAATGGTCATGTGTACACGATACATGACAAAAAAGAAGGATTTCTTTTAGTTGACTAATTAAAATGTTTAACAGATAGCATAAGTTTAATATTTTGCGTAATTTTCATAACTAAAATATGTTTAATTATAATTTTAGTTTATAAAACAACAAATAAATAATAAGCATATCCATGTTCACATAAAGATGTGCATATACACATAATTAATACCAAATTGCTTTAATGTTACATGAAAAAACAGAACAAAAAAAAAAAAAAAAAAAAAACCCACAAAACACAAAACCTTCAATGCTAAGCCACACACAACCCAAATTAAATCAAATTCTCTAGGTATTTGTATTTTTCAGAAAAGTTCCCAGGTA